CACTCTCTTGAATTTTGCCTATTTTTGGAGGCTAGAACAGGTGATCCTTTAATTTTTTGGACCAGTGTATATACATTTTATATAAAATGACATATAGCACGTTACATACTTTTATTATAAATAGGGTCCGACACGATAGGCTGTAACGGCTTGTCCCCTTCCAAGAAAACTTGAAAACATAATCTCACAATGTTGAGATCTATTTGTTTCGGGTGCCTTATGTGTTCGAAACCAGCTGTAACAATTCATATTTTCTCGTAATTGTGGCTTATTTAAGAGAGTAGGACACTTTGCGACCAGGTTGAAAAATAAAGATTTATTGAGCTTGGATTGTAGGAAAAGTATTAATAGGATTCACTTGTAATTTGGCACTTTATTAATACATATATTAAACTTCTTATGTTTTAATTTGTTTTAAATTGTATTGGAAAATATATATATCTCTCGAGGAAATACAATCTGCGTTAAACGTGCACTTTTAAACGGTATACATGATTCCGTGATTTTGGTTATTCCGAAACAAAAAATCAAAATAGTTTTATAAATTAAAATGTACTTCCTATCGCGTGATTGAGCTTTATTTCATTTTTTTTTAAATTGACGGAAATAGATAGGTTTAAATTTTTGACTCATCTTTTGACATTATAAATGTTATTGTATTTTGGAAACTGAAAATATTATCAATAAAATTATCGGTCATGCTATAGGGAGTACATTGTAATTTATGAAACTATTTTAATTTTTGTTTCAGAATAACAAAAATTGCGGAATCATGTACACCGTTTAAAAGTGCACTCTTTATGTGGATTTGTTGTATTTCCTCGGGAGATTAATATTTTTCAATAAAATTTAAAACATAATACTTTAATATATGTATTAATAAAGTGCCAAATTACAAGATCGTATTTATACTTTTCCTGCAATCCAAGCTCAAAAAATCTTTATTTTTCGGGCTGGTCAAAGTGTCCTACCCTCTTAAATTAATAAAAAAATAAAAACAAAAAAAGTCCGCACATACTTTCAAAGGGATCCACTCGTAACTCCTGACGCACTCTGAGAGACTCTTCGATGTTCTTCTTTTTCTTTTTCACACATTGAATGCCCAGATTCGAGAAAGTAATAGCCATATTTGATGACGGAATCTCTACCGTACAAACACC